CTTTGTCATCTTAAAATTTAAAAAAGACTCAAAAACTTCAAAGTCCAGAACTTCTGAAGTCAGATAACCTCAAAGTTCTAACATCATAAAGTTTCTACAACCTCAAATCTTAAGTTTTCAAAATCTCCAGAATAACGAAAGAGTTAAAGACATTTTTTTTTTGTTGAAATTGCAAAATCCTCAAAACTCCAGATCCTTAAAGGTCTAAATACTCTAACACCCAAACCTTAAAGTCTTAAAATACCAAAATCCCTAATTCCCAAAGACACATAATCTCAAAATTTCAAAGACCCAAAATTCTAGATTCCTAAAATCCCCAGAAGTCCTCAAAACCTCAAACTCTCCATAAATCCAAATCTTCAAAGTCCCAAACCTTCAAAAACTCAAACCTTAAACCCCTAAAATCCCAAAATCCCCAATTTACAAAGACACATAACCTAAAAATTCCAATAACTCAAAATTCTCAATTCCCAAAAACCCCAGAAGTCCTCAAAACCTCAAACTCTCCATAAATCCAAATTCTCAAATTCCCAAACCTTCAAAAACTCAAATCTTGAACCCCCAAAATCCCAAAATCCCTAATTCACAAAGATCCATAACCTAAAAATTCCAATGTCCCAAAATTCTAAGTTCCAAAATCCCCAGAAATCCTCTAAACCTCAAAATCCCTAAAAATCCAAATCCTCAAACTCCCAAACCTTCAAAAACTCAAACCTTGAACCCCTAAAATCCCAAAAACTCAAATTTCCAAAGACCCATAACCTAAAAATTCCAACGTCCCAAAATTCTGAATTCCAAAACCCTCAGAAATCCTCAAAACCTTAAAATCCCTAAAAATCCAAATCCTCAAACTTCCAAACCTTCAAAAACCCAAATCTTAAAGCCTTAACTCCCCCAAATCCCCAATTCCCAAAGACACATAACCTCAAAAAATTCCAACATACCCCCAAAACATTTCCATTTCACTAATTTTATTCGTTCATAAATGTCCACGTTATTTTAGTACATCTAACAAAACGGAAAGTTAATCTCCATCTGCAATTCAGTAATTAATTAATAATCAGATTGGTCGATTCTACTCGGAGGATTCAAAGAGTCTTCCGCGTCACGCGATCGTCAACCAAATCGCAAGCACATGAATTAGAAATGAGCTCAGCTTTGTGGATGTTGTTTGCTGAACTTCATACAGAATAACGGAAGAGTTGAAGACATTTTTTTTGGTGAAATTACAATCTCGGCAAATGTCGGCAGTTATGTGTTTTCCTTTGTGTTCGCTATGTTACGACGGAGTGTAAGTAAAATTTGCTGATGTTATAATAATAATATAAATTATGCGAGTTGTAATGATGGCATGAATAATAATATAAATTATGCAGGTTGTAATAATGATGTAAATAATAATATAAATTATGCAGGTTGTAATAATGAGGTAAATAATAATATAAATTATGCAAGTTATAAAGATGACTCAAATAATAATATAAATTATAGAAGTTGTAATAATGACACAAATAATAATATCAATTATACAGGTTATCATAATACACATAGTAATGAATACATAATATTATTATTATAATTTTGCAGTTTAATGTGTACACTTTCATGCAAATTCATTGGTGTACAGTCTTGATGAAAGTATCTTCATGTAACTGGATAGTGTAATTCAACCTGAAGAGTATAATATAAATTAAAATTATTAAAAGTATAATCTTGATTAAGAATAAAAACAAGCTTGAAAGGTATAACCTCCACAGTATAATTCAGCTTGAACAATATAATATAAATTAAAATTATTAAAAGTATAATCCAGATAAAAAATATAAACTTGAGAAGTATAGTCTTCAGAATATAATGCACCTTGAACAGTATAATATAAATTAAAGTTATAAAAAGCATAATCTAGAAAGAAAGTAAAAACAAGCTTGAAATAATCCATAATATAATCCAGTTTGGAAAGCATAATATAAATTAAAATTATAAAAAGTATAATCTGAATTAAAAACGTTTATGTCTGAAGGGTTGAAAGGTATAATCTTCATAATATAATCCAGCTTGAAAAGCATTCAGCAAATTAAAATGACAAAAAGTCTAGATTAAAATATAATCAAGCTTGAAAAGTACAATCTAGATTAAAAAGTAATCCTGTAATATTGATAAGAATCTGTCAAATGCAATTTTGATAAAAGAACCTGTGACTTAAAGTAAGTAATCTTCTAACGCAACACTGAACTCCCTCGACGCGCCGCCATTTTGTCTACAGACTCTCACGTGACATAACCTATTCTTCCTCAAAAAAGCCTTTTCATCTCCCAACTATCACATTTGATCCTCCTCATCGAATTAACCCTATCTAAACCTAAAAAGAATCCATCTAAAATCTATCTAAACCTACATAAAATTGCACCGTGTCTCCACAAAAGTCGCATTAAACTCAAAAACACAATTTGATCGCTCGAAATGGCGCGTAAAACTTCGACACAAAGAGCCGTAAACCGTTGAATGCGACTCGATATTGTTTATCAGTTTTCTACGATGCCCGATTCAATTACATCGCGATTGATCCCGATTGACCCGATCGTCTAAATCTCCCCAACGGATATAAGCTATTCCCTTAATGTCGACGCTTGCATCGCGATGAACTGTGTCGCCTCTATAACGTGACATATAAAGGGGAATTATTATTGTTCGAGGATAATCGATTTCTCGACCGTCCGTAAAACAGGATCGTCAAGGATTAATACCTGATATTTCATCGGGCGAACGGTCCTCGCGAGAAATCGATCTCTAGTGCACGGTGATTTGTATATCGTCGTGAATTCTGGTGATTAATCGGCGATTGATGTACGATGGACACGTTTTACGCTTTTGTTCTGATGGTGTAGGACTGTTTATGCGTTTTGGTAGTTTAGGTGACCATAGTTTGTGTACTTTGAATGTTTCAAAGATGTCCCTAAATTTCTAGAGTTGTATAATCCTGAAACTCTTCATCCTTTAAATTTCTAGACACATAAACCTCAACATGAACCTGTATATCCCCAGCTACCCCCATTTCAGGGATCTACACCAGTTGTGAGACACCCTGTACATTTCTTGAATCCTGTACATTCAGAATCATGTCAGCTGATTTGGATTCACATGACCCTTCATTTCAGGGTCTCACACTAATAGTGAGACACCCTGTACTCCTTGAATCCTAAGATCTCTAAATTCCTGAAACTAAATTTTTATATCTCTGAAGTCCCATATCCCTACACTCACAAGTACCCAACTTTGAAACTAAAAAAATTCCCCAATTTATTATATTTTTAACTAAAACACCCAGTTTTGTAATTTTCTATGCAAACTTTCTATTTACTTGCAATTTTAGAGGTTTGGGACTTTGAAGTCTTGGAACTTTGAGAGTGTGAAACTTTGGAAACTTGGAACCTTGGAATATTGAAACCTTGAAGTGTTAGAACTTTGAAATGTTGAGACTTTGGAGTGTTAGAACTTTAAAATGTTGAAACTTTGGAGTGTTAGAACTTTGAGATATTGAAACCTTGAAGTGTTAGAACTTTGAAATGTTGAAGCTTTGGAATGTTAGAACTTTGAGATGTTGTAACCTTGAAGTGTTAGAACTTTGAGATGTTGAAAGCTTGAAGTGTTAGAACTTTGAAATGTTGAAGCTTTGGAATGTTAGAACTTTGAGATGTTGTAACCTTGAAGTGTTAGAACTTTGAGATGTTGAAAGCTTGAAGTGTTAGAACTTTGAAATGTTGAAGCTTTGGAATGTTAGAACTTTGAGATGTTGTAACCTTGAAGTGTTAGAACTTTGAGATGTTGAAAGCTTGAAGTGTTAGAACTTTGAAATGTTGAAGCTTTGGAATGTTAGAACTTTGAGATGTTGTAACCTTGAAGTGTTAGAACTTTGAGATGTTGAAAGCTTGAAGTGTTAGAACTTTGAAATGTTGAAGCTTTGGAATGTTAGAACTTTGAGATGTTGTAACCTTGAAGTGTTAGAACTTTGAGATGTTGAAAGCTTGAAGTGTTAGAACTTTGAAATGTTGAAGCTTTGGAATGTTAGAACTTTGAGATGTTGTAACCTTGAAGTGTTAGAACTTTGAGATGTTGAAAGCTTGAAGTGTTAGAACTTTGAAATGTTGAAGCTTTGGAATGTTAGAACTTTGAGATGTTGTAACCTTGAAGTGTTAGAACTTTGAGATGTTGAAGCCTGGAAATGTTAGAACTTTAAAATGTTGAAACCTTGAAGTGTTAAAATTTTGAAATGTTAGATTTTTTAAAAGGTTGAAACCTTGAAGTGTTAGAACTTTGAGATGGTGAAACCTTGAAGTGTTAGAGCTTTGAGATGTTGAAACCTTGAAGTGTTAAAACTTTGAAATGTTGAAACCTTGAAGTGTTAGAACTTTGAAGTGTTAGAACCTTGAAATGTTGAAACCTGAAAATAATAAAACTTTGAGATATTGAAACCTTGGAGTGTCAGAACTTTGAAATGTTAGAAGTTTGAAATGTTGAATCCTTGGAATGTTAAAACTTTGAAATGTTGAAACTTTGAAGTGTTAGAACCTTGAAATGTTGAAACCTTGAAATGTTTAAACCTTGGAGTGTCTGAACCTTAAAATGTTAAAACTTTGAAATACTGATACCTTGAAGTGTCAGAACCTTGAAATGTCGAAACCTTAAAATATCAAAACTACAACAGTTAAATGTGCAAGTTAACTATGCAACCATACAAGTTCGTAAATGCAACCTTTATAGTCACCAACCCCATAATAATTAATTCCCCATCCTCAATTCCCCTTTACTTAATTTTCCCCATATTACCTAAATTAATTTGTCAACTCCTCCATTAACGTCATAACTAAAATATGTCTACCATCTCCAATTGCACAAAGCACCATTTAAACACTCCAAACGCGAAAATATCAAGTTTCGTGTCACCATACGTTTACGCAACCCCATATAAAACTGTACGTAACAGAAGTCAATATTTTCGCAAGCAATCAACGACGTCGCAGTCATCGTCCAATATAGATCCTGGCCCCAGTACAGTCATCCGTCATCGTCGTTCGAATTAAGGTACCCTCCCGTATGCAATCTACATCTGCCTCGACGAAACGTGCCGCTCGAAACAACATCGAGAAACAATCAAAATTTTTGCGGTGTCATATCGGTGACAACTGTATGAAATGATCGACACCCACTGAGAGGAGAGAGAGCGATTTTTTTTTCTCTACCGAAGATACAGCGCTAGCGTAATCAAAATGGTAAAATTGCCTATATCCGACCATGAATACAACGTTATGCAAGATGGATGCATTTTTATTGCACGATTCGCATGCATGGCAATTTGATGCTCTTCATATTTTATGCTTTTCATATTTCCAATAGGTTGATTGGTACAGAAATAAATGAAATATGATGGACTCTCGTTATATTGCCACTTTCGTTGGTTATGTGCATTGTGTGAAATTAGTGAAATTCGATATAGTAGACTCTTGTTATATCAATGATGTAATCTTCGTACGTCATATTACGGTGGACTCTCGTTATATTGCCACTTTCATTGTTTATGTTTTATTGGTTATGTACATCACGTGAAGTTAATGAAGTTCGATATAATAATATACCATTGTTACATCAATGTTGAAATCTTCGTACGTCATATTACAGTGGACTTTCGTTATATTGCCACTTTCATTGTTTATGTTTTATGGGTTATGTTCATTGCGTGAACTTAGTGAAGTTCGATATAATAATAGACCATTGTTACATCAATGTTGAAATCTTCGTACGTCATATTACGGGTGACTCTCATTATATTGCCACTTTCATTGTTTATGTTTTATTAGTAATGTACATTACGTGAAGCTAGTGAATTTTGATAAAATGATAGACCATTGCTACATCAATATTGTAGTCTTCGTACGTCATATTACGGTGGACTCTTGTTATATTGCCACTTTCATTGTTTATGTTTTACTAGTCACGTGCATTGTGTGAAGTTATTGAAATTCGATATACTACACCCTCGTTACATCAATATTATAATTTGCGTACGTCAGATTACTGAAATTGTTGCATGAAGCTTCTCTATATTGCCACTCGAATTCCACGCTAATGAATCTAACCTTAATATCAAAGGAGAATTACCGCAAAATTCAAGAATTTTACAAAAAGAGAAAGTTAAAACGATGTAGTTGAGCGACGCATCCAAGATGTGGGAGTTTCAGCTTTAATGTTATATGATCCCATTAAACTGAATAACTCCTCTATCGCTCCCGCTTTGCGCATGCAATTTGCCTTACAAATATTGTCTCTATAAACGATTAAACAGATTGCAGGGCTGCTGACTGAGGAACATCTTTGAACTAAAACTCCCAGCAATTAATGCTATTTTTCTTGGATAAATAGGTTAGGAAATAGGTCGATCATTTCGCAAGCCAAGCTATATTGCTGCATAACCTACAAATTTATTTATTTAACCAAAACATTCATCACTGCAAAATAATTTATAAACATAATTCCTTTAGTTTCTATATAAATATATATATTTATAACCTTAATATATTATATATAATTTATAACCTTAAATCAAATAATTAAAACTCATGTTTAACCTTAACAATTTATTTTAATAATCCTATATTATTACCATGTGAATTATGCCATTATGTACTAAAATAAAGGCATGCCTTAAAATTAAAATATTCAAAAAATCATTTTTTTTAATTAAAATCAAAATGTATTTATTGAAATGTCCATCAACTTTTGTTAAAAATTTCTTTAACCTTATGTGGCTTCGTTGCACTTGTTACTAACAGTCGATAAAATAGAATGAATATAATAATTACTGATTAATGTATTGTTAACAGGGAATGTTCTCCGCGATTCAAAAGCAACAAATATGTCTGCTGTTCTTCGTCCAAGTCGTCCTAATTGTGCTAATGGGAGTGTTGATGACATACGGCCCGGAGGCGAATGTTAATTTACGAAAAAATCTCACAGGTCAGTGTGCATGCGAAACGACGACGCCCCTGAATTATGGGACGACATGGATTATCAGTGGACGGCAGTGCAACTTTTGTTATCGTTAAATATTCCTCGTCCGATGTGACGTCACTTTGGAATTATATCGTGTACGGTGGACGATAATTTTTTAGAATTTACATCGGACTGAAACGCGTCACCGATCCCCTGTCGTCCTTGTTATTCGCGCGAATTTATGCAAAATTCTTCCTTCTTTTTGCCCCGTTTTTAATTGTCTTTTTTCCTATCGGAAAGTACCAAATGAATTATGCAATTTTCTCGATTAAATTCCTCGACAATGGCTGCAATAATCGAAAGGTAAAGTTGATTGAAATCAAAAATTAATTTGTTGGAGTTATTATTGTTACTGTGAAAGTGTTTGTTTAAAATTATTTTAACAGGCTGCCAGTTACTATAAATCCTAAAAATCGATTTAACAAGATTAACAAAAATTTGATAACTATTTTATGCATACAACAAAATTATTTTAATAAACTTTCAGTTGCAATAAGTCTTAAAAATCAATCGATCAAAATTAGAAAAAAAATTTCAAGTTTGTTAACTATTTTATGCAAGCGAACGAAGCGTCTCCAATTAGCGTGAAAAAAGAAATACAAAAAATTAATTAATTGTCACTAATTATTCGCCCGGAGACGTCTGTTATTTACAAACAAATTGTATCATTATTCAGGAAACGAATATCGAGGAAACAAGCAATTATCCCAGTTCCATGTTTTTCCCTTTACTCCTTCCATCCTGGTCACGAATAAAATTGCAGTCTTACGTCCCGATAAAAAAAGAAAAAAAAAAGGGAAGGATCCGCTTACGTTCTACTTTGGAGTCCCAGTTGTGCTCGCAGTCGAGGGATTCCTTTCGATCTTTCTCCTGTTGGAACAAAAGCTCGAGGCATCGGGAGACCAGTATGCTTTCATTTCCGAGTCAAAGGAGAATGTAACGAGAAAAGAAAAGGTGTATCCAATGTCCTAGGACGAATTCGGAAAATTTCCCGAGCGTCACGCGTCCCTGCTTCTTCCTTTAATGGAATAATTAAACTTTCAGATAACAATGGCCAGGACGTCAAGAAACCGGAATCGTTGCAAATTTATCCGAGTGAGTATTATTTAAGTCGAGTTAAATTTCGTATTTATATTCCTCCTGCAAGAAACCCTTCGTTAAACGTCGAAAAGATTCTAAAAACTTAATATTGCTTGAATATTACTTCTGACAATTTGAGAAGTTAATTAAACTCCCGATAATTATGAACGTAATAAATGCATGTCTACAATTGCATGATGTGTAATGCAGTATAGTTTTAATTAATATTTCAGAAGGGATTGTAATGCGAAATTGAATATTCGTTCTCTGATTTTGTAGCGGAACATGTATTGAATTATTGACAATTAAAACAGAGAATGTTTTAGTTTTAAATTTCACCCTCTTTCTCTCTGTATTACTGTTTATTGGACGTTCGATTTTAATGCATAAATAACAATAGCTACGTTAATTAATGCCTTGGAATACTGGAATGGAAGTAGGACAAAATGGCGGAACGTGACCTTACTCTTTCAGAGACGTTTACATTGTCCTCTACAATTTTATTTTCCTCTTCTTTTCTTATTTTATTACTTCACGTCATTCTTCAGTTATCTATACAGGGTGTCTCACAATTAGTGGTCCCTGAAATGGGGAGTAGCTGACGCGATTCTGAATAAGATTTCCCTTTGCAAAAATGGGGTTTGAAGCTCCATTTTTGAATTATTAAGGAAAAACGTGGACCAATCAGAGCGCGAGGATTACGCATGCGCAGACGCGAAACAGCTTCGAGCTAGCGGCTGAGCGCGTAGTACTTACCACGCGTTGTATTTACCACGCATTGAATTTATCACGCGTTGCTTACCACGTGCTGCACCTACCACGCATAGTACTTGCCACGCCTTGTATTTACCACGCGTTACGTTCACCACGCATTGATTTCTTACGCGTTGCACTCACCAAGCGTTGAATATACTATATATTGCATTTACCACTGCTAGTTCAAAGCTGTCACTCTCTCGCATTGTATTTACTACGCGTTGTATTTACCACGCATTGAATTTACCACACGTTGCTTACCACGTGCTGCACCTACCACGCATAGTACTTGCCACGCCTTGTATTTACCACGCGTTACGTTCACCACGCATTGATTTCTTACGCGTTGCACTCACCAAGCGTTGAATATACTATATATTGCATTTACCACTGCTAGTTCAAAGCTGTCACTCTCGCGTATGCGCATGCGTACTCTTCGTGCTCTGATGGTCCCTGTATTTCCTTAATAATTCAAAAACGAAGCTTCAAATCCCATTTTTGCAAAGGGAAATCTTATTCAGAATCACGTCAACTGTCCCCCTGTTCAGGAACCTAAACTAGTTGTGAAACACCCTGTATAAAACACACTGTTACTTTTGAAAAATCATTAATACTTAATTTTGTATAAACCGTACACTGAAACTTTCACTATAACTACATCCACACATAAATATCTAAATACTTAAACTAAAAAATACATAAATATACAAAAATGTAAATACTTAAACTAGAAAAATAAATATCTGAATACGTAAACTACAAAAATAAATGAATACGTAAATATCTGAATATGTAAACTAGAAAAATAAATAAATAAATATCCGAATACTTAAGGCAAACAGTACATAACGTAAAAGAAAACACAGAAGAAAAATAAGAAGAAAAATGTGAAACAACAAGGGTACGGTATCATAAAATAACAGAACGCGATCGTAGACGTCGTTTAGTTTGAAACTACGTCCCAAAATGTAAGCATAGCCGAGAATTAACAACCCCGACGCGTTTCCTCGCCAGTATTATCCAACGAAGAACACCGTCGACGAACTTTCCGGATATGAGAGTTCCTTCGTTCGCGACCCCCGCACCTGAAACGCGTAAAACGCAAATTTACGCGTTACCAGCGACGCTTAGCAGCTGGATCACGTGGCACGCGTGATGGTTAAGCTAATAACCGGAAACTGGGAGCCACTTCCTGCTAAGAACGCGTCCCAAAAGAGTTCTTTATGCGGAAGTAAGTCGAAATAGTTCGCTCGACAATTTTAACGTGTCGTAAGGGTGACAACTTAGGGTGATGACTTGGAAATCGTAAACGCTACCTCTTCTTCCTGAATTTCACTTGTTCTATATTTTCAAGCCTTATTTATTTTATAGCTTGCTAAGTGGATAGAGTAAAAACCTTTACTTGTATGTTTATGGATTTTCAACTCGATGAAATATTGAAATTTAGACTTGATGAGGTATGTCTTCAAATGATGATGTTAGATGATGAAAATTTATAACTCCAACCCTTCATAATCTTCTCTCTTGATGCATTTTTGGTTTCAACACAAAATGCACATCAACAAGCTTATAAAACTTGTTACTTATAAAAATTAATTTACCACTAATCATTTTAATTAAATTACAAAATTTAATCTCCTGAAAATTTTGGACCAACCCTCAGAACCTCCTGCAACCCCCTCTGTCGATACATCCCTGGTTTTCAGCATAAAACGTCAAACAAACCATATAGAAATAATTGTACCACCATTCAGCTTAATTAAATTACAAAACTACCTAAAAATTGTTGCTTTCCACCCCCATAACCTTTCATACCCCTCCCTGACGACCTACCCTGATTCCCAACATAAAACCTCAAAGAAACCTCATAAAAATGAATATAACTTGAGTAAAAGAATATCGAATTTACTTTGCATATCAAAGTCCTATCACAAAAAGAGAAGAATTAATCCGAAATCTAAATTCATCTGCACGGTCTGAGAAGTTAAAGCGTGTAGAAGTTAAAGCAATCGGTAGCCGGTGTCGTGACCCTCGCTTTTTAAAGTAGACAGCACTGATCTTTATCGAGTATTCAAAAGACCTCCCACTCGTGCTCGACGTTGCTTCTGGATGCAAAAGTCGATCCTCTCGTCACTGTGTGGATCGAGTATCGTACGAGTTACAGGATCGAATTGCCAATAAACAGCGACGACCAAAGAAGCCTCGGTTACTAAACTTCCTTTGAGGGCCAGAAGTGGCTGTTAAACTGATTCCACGTGCGTTAACCTCACAGGTAGATCTCACGATGACTTTCTTCTTTATTTGCCGCGATTTAAAAGCTTGATCGATTTACACTGTATCGGGAAACTGCGTGTTCATGTCCGAGACGGAATAAATGTTCGTTTAAAATTTAAAAGGCTCTTTGATCTTGCCGTGTTAAAATGGTTGAAATTTTATTTCTGGATGGCGTGTGTTGAATGGGGAGTGTTCAAGAAAATTGCTGAAAGCATTTCTGCTGGAGAGTTTGTATAGGATTCGAGAAATATTTGCTATGTGAATCGAAATAGTCATTTTTTAAGAGTAGAGTATAATTTTGGTGATTGTTGAGAGGGTTTGTATGTTGTAGCATTTTTATAGATAATTTTATGTGTGGTGAAGAAGCTTTGTCTTCTGAATTTTCATATTTTGTTTTCTTCATTTTTACGAAGACGTGAAGTGACGCGAAGTCTTTTAGGTTTGATAGTGTTTTCCATTTGATTTCTTCTTCTGTTCTACCTCTTCCATTTTTGAGTTTGAATGTTTGAACTCACAGAAGAAGAAGAATTTCATTGTCTTCATCTTTGTCTTCTGAACTGTATCTTCATTTATGAACGTCTCTTCATCTTCATCCACAATATGACATCATTTATGTTTCATATTGTTTGCAATTCACTTTCTTCATCTTTTGTATCTCCTCAATTTTTAAATTTGAATGTTTGAACACATAGAAGAAGAATAATTTCATTGTCTTCACCTTTGTCTTCTGAATTGTATCTTCATTTATGAACGTCTCTTCATCTTCATCCACAATATGACATCATTTATGTTTGACATTGTTTTCATTTCATTTTCTTCATCTTTTGTAGCTCTTCCATTTTTAAGTTTGAATGTTTGAACATAGAAGAAGAAAAGTTTCATTGTCTTTATTTTTGTCATCCGAACGCTGTCTTCATTTGTAAACATTTCTTCATCTTCATCCAAACCACGAATCGTTTATTTTTAATTCACATCCCGTCACTTTTTAAAATTGATTAAACGTGTCAATGTAAATTAGAAATTCGTCTTGAACAGCCCCTATTCAATTACCAAGATTTAATCCTAAAGCATCTTGGTGTTTAACCGAAATCGAAAAGAAGAAACCATCAGCCCGGAACCAATGAGTCCACAAAGAGAAAGAAAGAAGAAGAGCTAGAATCGAAGAGAAATCGAAATTAAATTCATAGAAAGCTGTAAGAGAACGTTTGAGGTGTTCAAGCACACCGAGGCAGGTAACAGGGTTCGAAAGAAGAAAAGTCACCCCCGGGTGCAAGAGCCAGAGTAATTTCACGGGCTCGATTCTGGTGTAGGCAAGGACTGAAGAAAGCACGTGAAAGAAGGGATGACGAGGAACAACGTATCGCATGCGATCGTACTCCTCTTTATCGAGGGCTTCCTCCTCTGTGGTTTTTTGGCCACGTTTGATTACGCCCCCGAGGCGAACGCCGCTTACCGTCAGAACAGCTTCTCGCCTCATCTAAATGGAAAACCGAGTTCTTTGCCGGTCACGTACACACGTAAGTCCTTCGACTCGTTCTTCTTCAACCTCTCTTCTTTTTACGCGGTTACGCCCTCTTCTTTAACTATATACTTCCATTCTTCTATTTTTTTTTAGCTGTTTAAGCTTTCTTCTTTTGTTTGCTAGTTTAATTAATTTTAATTTAATATTTAGATTTCTTTGTTGTAACTCTTCAGTTTGCATTTCCTTGTATTTAGATTGTTGGCTCGTTTTAATGAAGAAAACAAGAAAGCTTCTTTATCTTCTAAATGTTCTATTTACTTAATAATATTTCTTCCTTGCTATTTGTTCCTTTGATTTGAGTTACTTCTATTCATCTCTAGTTTCTTCTTCTTCTACATCTCTGTTTGCAACTGTGTGTTCATCAATTTTAATTTAATATTTAGTTCATTTTCTTCTTTGCTATACTCCCTCAATTTGGGTCTTGTCTAAATGTAAAAAAGAAGAAAGCTTCTTTATCTTCTGA